AGTTCGTATACATTGTTTTTCACACTGGATTTTCCCCATATCCTTCAACCCTCACCTCCACTCACCAAATTGTGCGACCCTTTGATGAACATTCCCCCCTCTACAACCTATCCTTACCCTTCTGTTTCCCACCTTGGATCCTCATACTCATGTTGCAGGGTTGTTTTTCTTTTTTAAATTACTTTATTTTGTGTGTGTACAGTCACATCAGATCTGACTGGCACAGGAGGAGATTGCCCCTCCTTCTCCAGCTGAGCCTCTGGTGGATTTGAACCACAAGCCTCTGGGAGTGCAGTGCAGCCTCTCTCTTGCCACTAGGCCATCAGAGGTTCTTTATGTTGCAATTTTGACGTCTTGGTGTGGAATGCAAAGATAAGTGGCTGCTTTGTTTGAATTATCCTCTGATTCAGAACTTTGAGTAGAGGTGGTGGTGATTGTTGCTATGTGCTGTCCAGTCTCCTGTGACTCTTAGCGATCCTATGTACAATAGCTCTGAAGCCTGCCCTGTCCTGAGCCTGTCTCACTGACTCTGACATACCTACTCCCATTGCCCTAAGTATGAGAATTTACCAGGTGTTCCTTTCAACTGTTAATTAAAGCTTTCTGTATTGGAAACTAGTGCCCCTCCTATAAAATCTACCTCATATGGACAGATGTAGCTTAGAGAGATGGATACTCCTTATATTTCACACTGTAGAGATACAGTTGAAAATGGAGAGATTGATACAGATTACATATGCTCAGTAGGAATTTGGAGAAAGTTCTACAGAGTGAACACTTCCCTCTCTTGTTTTAAATTTGTACTTGTAGGTAGACGTGGACTCAGCAAACAGAAGAAACCATCAATCAGCCACTGCTGCCCAGTGAGTTTGACTTATGGTGACCTTGTGTATTACTTCACTTGGTTTTCTTGGTGTTCATCTTAAAGGAAGCAGATTGTGCCAAGCCTTTCTTGCTGGGTTCCATAGAGTTTGAATTGGCCAGCCTTTAGGTTAGCAGGTGAGGACAGATTGCTTGCTATCCCTGAGGCACATCAAAATAGGACCAGCTTGTGAATAAGACTTTTAGGCATTTTTGCAAGCAAACCATAGAGAAGGGTCTTCCACGTTGTGAATTACCAGGACCCTAGGTTCACCTTCAGGTGGCAAGTATAGTGGGCTTTGGAGAATGAATTTGTTTTACTCTGATATGGTTTGGAGTTAACAGTGCTGTTGTTTCATTCAGGCATTACCTGGAGAAGAGAGCTGAAGTAATGAAAAGAGAATATGGAGGCCCAGTCCCACAGTTCCACGACCACTGAGAAGAAGAAAGTTGAGAATTCTATTGTGAAATGCTCCTCTCGAACAGATGTCAGTGAGAAGGCAGTCGCCTCCAGCACCACCTCCAATGGTGAGCCACTGTGGGCTTTCCCAGTAGCCCAGCCTCCACTCATTTGTTGTGTTCTCCACATTCCTTGTGAATTCAGCATTTGCACCTGGACCAGTGTTTGCTCTATGAGAAGCTGAAGAAAGCCAATGGGGGTAGAGGTTGAGAAGTTGTAGGGTGGGCAGGCCTTAGTAATCCTTGTTTTGGCACCCAGAGTCCTCATTTTCATCCAAATTTTCTAATTTGAGATGTAAATGTGATAGGTTATTTATTATGGAAAGTTCCTGTTTTGGCATTTTGGAAATCATCTTGATTAGTTTGGCAGGAGTTCAACATGTTTTGCATTTCACCATGGAAAATCTATACTAGTCAGAATAATTAGTTATTACAAAAGGCACAAAAGTTGCCTTGTCAAAATTAGTGTCAGGATCTGCTCCCTGCCCCATTTTAAGTAGGTCTACTCTATAGGATTTCAAAACTGATTAACAGTTGATACTCAAAGTAATCCGGTATCACAGGGGTAGGTTTTGTTTTTGCTCGTCTATAAAAATGTAATTCATTTCGCTGTGTTCAGGGGTAACCAGCCTTAAAACTACTGTTTCTACATTTTATGTTTTAAAATGTTACACACAGTGTTGAGAAGTATTTGAGTTTAAGCATGGAACATTGCAAAGAAATTCAAGCACCTCCTCTTTTCAAAATAGACTGAATCGGTTAATGGCACCCTTTGCTCCCTTTCCCCTGTGCTGGTCCATAGCAGTGGACCATTAGTGGTTAGTTTGTCTTTTGCAGATGTCACAGTCATTCCTGGCCTCTCTGAATTTTCCTCTACTTTTCCCTGTGCCCTTAGGAAGAACAAGTCAGCCAGCTCTCTCAGGTCCTGGGTTCTGTCTGTTTATGCACACTCATTAGCATTAGCCAACCTGCTACCTCCCTCCTGGTGGGCTTATATTTTATTTATTCCAGGAATGAATTGGCCCTCGTTGATTTACAATTTTTAACATACCATTAGATCGTCAGACTGCTTTGGAAGGTTAACTATAGTCTAGATCTCCATAAGACTTAGAGTAAGGACGAATACACAGTAAAAAAGCCAGTACCTTCCAGGCCTAATTGTGGCTCTGGCTTGATCTGACACCTCTAAGGAGCCTGGACACTGCTCTCCTGCGCCATGGCCATGTCTGTGGAGACTGTGTGCCTGTCATCTGTACTCCTTTGCCTAATTTAATGAATATGTGTAGTTCGCTTTCCTAGAGGGAGGAGAGGGACTGTTGTTAAACCTACTGGCTAATGAATCCATTTTGAATTGGTCCTTAGGGAGATGTATTTATGCTTGAGAATTCTTCCCTTTATCAGTTAAAATAATGAACTTACTTTCATTAATAATTTTCAAATATCAGAAAATAATGAATTACAGAGAGATGAAAATATGTCTGTATCCCCCCTCACCCCCATTATTTGTAGTATTTAAACTAAGGACTGAAGCTTCTTTTAATTAAGAATATTTGCATTGTTTTTCTAGTGTATTGAGAGAGTCTTTTTTTTTCTCTGTAAAAAAAGGTTATTGTTTCTTTTAATCTTTTTCTCTTTTGAGCTTACAGTAGTTATTTTTTTTAGAAATAAAATAATTTGCAATTTAGGTTATTTGGTAATTATTCTAGTAAGTTTTTAGGGGTCAAATGCTGCATATTACACTTAGTGAAACATCAACTTTTGACTACTGTGTGTGTATGAGAGATTTGGAAGGAAAGAAAGGAAAAGAGGTTGAGAACGCTTGTAACTTGATAGAAGACAATGCTGTGCTGTGAGATACCTACAAAAGTGGTTATCCTGTTTATGAGTTTCAGTGGGAGAACACATTAGTGTTCTGTTCTTATGAACTGCTCTTATTTTTGTCACCACACCTAGGATGTACATTCAGGTTTTCTGAAGCTCCTACATACTTCTTGAGCCACTCTTTATGACTCTGTTTAAGGAGACTAAGAGCAGAGTTGTAATTGACCAGGTAATGGTGGCTAACAAATCACCAGTGAAAACTAACCAGAGGAGAAGCAGTGATTTATAAAAGTTGGTCTTACACTTTTAAGTAATCCCAGTTCTGTTTGCTAAACAAGACTCCATTAGCTCCAGACCCTGTTTCTTTGTCTTTTGAGCACATAGCTCCTCCTGTACATATATGGCCATGTGGAGCAGTAGCTCCTTGGTCAAGCTTAAACTTGTAGGTCCCAAGCTTGAATGATAGCTGTCCTCAAAGTCCTGGGCAAACTGACAATTTCATTTTTTGTTTCTTTTATTTCTTCTAAAAGATTTATTACTTTTTGTTTGGAGATAATATAAAGATCGACCAAATAAAAAGAAAAATGGAAATGGAAGTGGAAGTTTTAGTCTTGGATTGCAAATCTGCCTGGAAGATTCCAGGATAGCAAACAGATGAGGTGTAAACAGAAGGAAAATAGAAGCCGAGGAAATGAACCATTGCTTTGTGACTTAGATATCCTAAGTAAACAGTGGTAACAATTATAATGGCATTTTCTACACAGTGCCATACTCTGCTATATTTCAGGATGCTTTAATAAATTGAGAGTATCTAATTCCAGGACAGTACTAAAGAAAAGTGTGTTCGCTTGCTAGAACTGCAGAGCTACTTTTTTCTATCTGGTTCCAACACCTTCCTGCAGCATTTATCAGTGGTCACACGGAAAGGGTGTGTGGGCTTTGGTTGGTGAATTTTAAGAGATCTCTTGACTCCAGGCTCTCATAGATGGTACCCCATATGCATGCTGACTGGGAGCTGCCATTGCCACGGTCTGTCTCTTACTTAATGTTTAGGGTATGTAAAATCCCTACCAGTTACCATTTGCCTTCCAACTGACCATCTCTTAGAGGATCCGTGTATCTCAGAGTAGAACTGCCCTTCATAGGACTTTCAGTGGCTGATCTTTCAGAAGTAGATCATCAGGTCTTTTTCTCTAGAGTAACCTCTAGGTAGACAGGAACTTCCTGTCTTTTGGTTAGAAGTTTTAAGCCATTTTCTCCACCTAGGTCATTACGGAAAGGTTATTCACTAAAAGAAACAAATTTATTTGCATGCTTCTGATAGATTAATAATGATGGTGTCTGTTTCCAGGGCTTCTTTTGTGTGTTTTTGGGTTCCCCTCCAGCTCTGAAATTCAGTAATTTGTAACTGAATGATTAAAAACGAATGTAACATCAAGTAACACTCATTTTTGTCTCCTCTCTACAATTTTGTGGTTTAAATCAAAGAAACAAACAAAAAGTTTATTATTGGCACTTGTCTTGGTGACTTAATTAACTTTTCCAGGCCATTCTGTGCTGCAGTTTGTTCCTGATTGTAACCTTCCAGCCAAACCACGCACATTCCAATGCATGTCCTGACAGATCTGTTTCTTACTTTACTCAGCTGAGTGTCTGCTCCTCAAATAACATACGTACAGAATTTTATTAACACACACGCACACAACTAAAACGTAGGGGTCAGAGACCTTGAATAGCATTTAAATAAGCATGTCCTACTTAACACTGAAATTGAAAATGTTAGAAGAGGAAAACGTTACTCTGATTGTGTATGGTAAAGACATAACTAATTTTAATTTTGTAACATTTATGAGCCTATATCAACATAAAGTCTTAAGTAATCTCTACTTAAGACAACAACCTGTGTCTCATGTACTCATGGTTTAATTTTTGGCCTAAGTGTTATTTGGTAAATTTAAAGGAGATGATGCTTACTTAGTTTTCTCAATGTTTTTCTTACATGCATCTGAATTTTAAGTGAATGTTTTTGTATGTAACATAGCCATGGTGTCTTTCATATACAGAGTGTGCACTATGAAATTAATGATTGTATTATAGTGAATCTGTTTGCCTCTGGTGTGCATCCATTGCTTTCTGAATTTATATGATGATTTTAAATAAAAATGTTCTGATGAGATCTTCCCATATCTTTGAATTCTCATCCTGTAAAATTTCCTTTAGTCACTTGGCAAGTAACTGACTTACTAATTTTAAGGGTTTTGTCTCATGTTTCGCCTGTGGTGTTTTTGTTTTTTTTTTTTTAGTTTTTATTTTAAAGGAGTAATTTGATTTTCCTTATTAAACTACAACTCTGCTTTAAAAAAGAAGAAAGGAACTAATAATAAACATATGCAAGCTGTGGTCTTTGGAAACTTTTATCGAATCTGATAGTTATTGAGAACATACCTTAATGTGATAGAAAGCAGAAATGATTATTCTAATTATGATGCAATGTGACACCAAAGTTGATAGATTAATAATGGAGAGGGAATTCTGTTGATCATTTTGATTGTGTAAAGGAAAAAAGCCACACCAAAACCCACCCTTAAACGGGTTGGAGGGGGAGGGTTTGGGTCTCTTGTGCTTAAAAAAACCCAACAACAAACTTTGAGGTTTGTAAAAGCCAAGCATTGTGGTCTGCAAATATTTAAAGATAGACACTCCCCACCACTTCCCTTTAGCTTTTCATTATATCCTGGCTCTGGTTGGAGGTGTAAGGGTGAGTTTGTTGTGAATTCAGAATTCAATGATTATTACCCACCTATTATTAGCTTTTGCTTTCTTTGCCCTTATTTTAAAATGAATTCGTGTACTAATTCTGCTTAGAAATGAATAGGCTGATGGTTCTGATCATCCAGGTGACTTTGACTTTGTGTTAGGTTTCTTGACTCATTAGATGTTTAATCACTTTCTTCTATTTCTATTCACATTCTATTTCTTGGCACATGACAGAGGGACAGAAATGCCATTTTCTGATAAAGTGGATTTGAATGATAAGGTATTGTTTGGAGCACACTGAGGTTTGGGAATCTGGGAAACTTGAGTTGTGTTCTAGCAGTGCGAGAGAGTAACCTATGGGCAGATTAACTTCTTGGAGTCTCAGCTTCTTCATTTACTTAGTAAGATAATAATTAGATATACTTCTTAGAATCTGAAAGAAAATTAAATGAGGCAATTCTTGAAGGAGCTTAACATTAAGTACCCGATAG